GTTAATCAACTGGCACAGGAAACAGAAAAACAAACCGTAAGAGAGCACATCTCGACGTGTGTGGCGCAGAAGTCGCTTACTTTGTTCCGGGAGGTCCGGTAGGAACTTTTTCTCCGAATCGGTAGAGCCCATCGACCGGTTTTCTTCTACAACTGCAGGTGAGATCGCCGAGTCATCAAGTTCCGAATTCCGCGAATCGCTTCTAAAAGAAGTACACGTCATCGTCATTGCCATCGCATCGCAAACATGGCTGCCGCTGGTTAAGTTCAAGGCTAATTTAAAGGAAGGATAGACGATGGAGGCTGAGGATCATCGTCGCTTCGAAACTCGCGGCTCGCCTACTAGTTGACAGCTGCTGAAAGAGGTCGTTTAATGGACAACAAAACTGAGTTCAAGGTTGAGGGGTCAAGGGATATGTGGCTGTGGCCAAAGGCATCTAACTTGAAAAAAGAGCCTGATGGTAGATCTTGATTATGAGAACGACATCGCCTTACATTAAGTACATTCTTCTTAACAATTTAAACTCTACTCGCAGATCGTTGCTCTACCACAACGAAAACACAAACTTGGCAGTTCGCAGTCGAAGTTAACGCTGATAATTGCCTCCATGACAAACGACTCGTAATGACAGCCCACTTAATGAACTCAGAGTCCAGCAACGGCTATTCAATGCATCGCTGTTCGCCACCGCAGGCAAAATTTGAGCAGAAAGAGTGGGGGGGAGTCGTTGAGTTGTGCATCGGCGTATCAAGTTGCAACAAATACAAGTAAGCGCCAATCGTCGCGCATGATCACTGGACGCGCTGTGATGAACCTTCTGCAAAACATTCCTTAAAGCCACCTTCCATCGACACCTGCTGCAAACGATCGCTGCTGACACCCAGAAGTGCATGGCGACAGGACGGGACAGTAGGGCAGGACAATTTCCCCGCTAAGCACCATCTCGGAGTTTTTCCTTAGCGCCAAGCAGACGCCTGAGCGCATCACCAGCAATCGCACAAGATTGCCCTTAATAACTATCTCCTAAGCCATTGCATCTTATACAGAGCCGAAAGTAAACGCTCGCCTATTCATGCTTAATTCCGGTTCAGTGATTATTTTTGGACAAACCTCAGCTAGTTTTGAAATGATTTTTATTGGCAATGCTCCCTTCTGATACTACCAATGGATTAATGCGAATATGTTTCAATAATTTTCAAACGAAAGGCATGACGTCAAAATGTCAAATAACAATGACAACTTGGAGCCGCAGCAGTATTTCGAAAACTTCTACCTTTATAAAAAGGGCATTATAATTCAAAATTTGAAACCTCGTATAGGGCTTTTCACAGGTATTAGTAATGCGTCCATTGAAGACATTGATCATTTAACAGCAAACATGTCAAAAGTGAAATTTTTTCGAATTGCAACTGTCACTAAATAGGCATAACCACCAGAATCAGTTGAGCGTGGTTCATATTTTGATCATTGCGAGGAACTGTAACGATGATACCGTACAACTGATTCAAAATTGGTGCTCTCTTAACACTACCGAAATGATGTTGAATGCAATGCATTACAAAAGCACTATTACTTTGTAATTATTATGCTTTATACTTTACTGCTCGGTAATGGTGGCACATGCAGACTTATGTATATTTCATTTAAGCTATTGATTCTACCTAACTAGAGTAAATAAAACGTGTAAACATAATCACAATTATGGATCATAATCCAGAGTTAGATTAACAAATGTAGCTCCCCCATAACCGAAGTCAACCGCGTGTAATGTAGCTCACCTCGTCCCGCATAAATGATATTTGAGCAAGCCACAGGTTCATCTTGCTGAAGCACTTGCAGTGCATTGAAACACCAAGATACATGTGCCATACAGCGCGAAATCTGATTATAAAGCAGTTATGCCTTATACAAATGTTCCACAGAATAAAAGGGTGATTGACACGTTAAAAAATGACATGAACATAAGACTCCATTGTTTCATACAGAGTTACTCCACATGTAAGCTTTATCCAATCAATTTCTTATGTCAAGCCATACTTGCTCGATATCAAGGTACAACGTCAGCAATATCTACATGAGGAACAATCCGGCAAGAAACACGATGACCATGGACTTAACTCCCCACTGTAAAAGGTTAATGTCCGATCTTCAAATGAACGTACCACGTTACTACAGCTGACATTTTGAAGGAAATATAATAATGTAAAATAGTTTGAAAAGCTTATCTTGAGTGAACATCTCTGAAAATAAGAACCATGATTGACTGCTATATCTGTTGCTAGACATTTTTGGGTCATCAGAGAGTAGACGATTGAGTTATGACGCTGTTCTGTCACAAAAGTCCAATTTTTTGTCTTTTCTGGGGTAGGTGATTAACTTAAAGTTCTTTTGTCATTAATCTTTGTATTTTCAAAACACTGCCTGCGAGCAATGTTAGAAAATTAAACGGTTCATCACTCTCTGTTCCAAAAAAACACGATTTTTTTCACAAAGGGAATTAATAAGGACGATGGTCTTAAATCCTTCCGTCCTGTTGTTGAAATGTCTTCCTCTTACACAGAACTGCCACACAATGCATAAATATCTCTATAAATCCGGTAGCCGGGTCATTTCAGGGTTTCAAGAAACCGTCACCGCTACCACGGCACTTAGTGCATACATCCTGCCACATTCTATCTTGTCATGATGATCTTGCACTTTCATTGTTCTCCTCTTACCGCGACAGGAACAATAAGGTCGGATTAAGATGAGGGAAAAAGTTGAGTACGAATCTTTCAAACAATAGCCTGTTAATAACGCTTTACGTTACCTTTTACGTTGCATGGTTTGAAGCATTCACCGTGTACCAAATGTTGCGCTCTTTTCATAGAGTATGCGACACTGGGTTTCACCTTGTTGAGAGACAAGCGATGCTGGATCTCAATCCGACCAAACAATGTTACAGGATCAGACAGAGGGCAGCCACTGTTATTAATGATGCATGAAACATACGTGATCTACAGATACTATTGAAAGCGAACGCAATCTAGGAAAAGAGCCCACGCAGAAATTGCAACAAGTGATTGGCTCTCCTGAAAATTTGCCTTGCCATACTGTGCTACAAATAGCTTGTTACATTGGAAATAAACACGTTGGCAGATAGATTTATAACGTGGGTTTATAAATCTACTTCAGAACGACGTGTTTTGAAAATATACCTAACCGATAATGTCCTTGACTTAATTCTAATGATATTCCATAGTTTTCATTTCGTGATAAAATAAATATTTTATACCCAAGGTGTATGGGTTTTCAAGAAGCACTGAAATCTTTTGGTAAAAATCAAACGTTGAGCGGACATTTATCGACAAAAGTATGTCCTTTTTAGAGGTCTTAAACAAACTTTCAGATGAGATATGTTTCGTTAAAAGATTATTTCGAATTACGTTATTTATGATATTTAAACTTGTTTGCAACTTTTGAGTTACACATCAGCGATGGAAAACTGAAACTTGACCCATTAGCCGAATTAGCGTGATAATAGTGTGGTTTCGTTCATTCATTTCTCTAGCTTTGAACAGATTAGAAATTGAATCAACTACGCCCAAGCTGCTTTTTCCATACGGCCTGTAAATCTCTAAAAAAACAAACAGTTTCGCTTCTCGAGAGCTTTGTTTTTAAGGAAAAAAAATGAGAGTGAAGTATGGACATTTTCTAGAGGACATCGAATTTCCCTTAATTCCAAAGGCTGCGTTAAGGAGAATGCCTAAAGGGCATGATCATTTACGGTAAACAATGACCAGGGGTATTTTTATTCTTTTCAAGGAATCATCGAAAATAAGTCTTTACTGTAAAGAGCTGAAAACGACCAAAGCAGGACAATCATGAGAGGGTAAAATTCTTTGTAAAATGAATATTGCTGAGTTATCGCGATAGCCTTAAAAACCTGTCATGAATCTGGAAAAGCCTGACAAGGCAATGGCAATCATAGTTTACAGATTACGCAACTTGTTGCTCCCCTTGAAAAGAGCAAAAGCAAAGTAATTACAGACCCAGACAAGACGACTGAGAGCTGTTGTCTATCATAATTTCATTGAAAGCATCTTGGGATTATTTTATCAAATTATCTGTCCTTTTAATGGGGAACATGATTCCTGCATTCGTAGAGCTTACTTAAAATAAGGGAAGACCTTACCATAAAGGCAACTCTGGTTCATGTTTCTTTAAGACAACCTAAAACAGTATCCCAGAATACATAAATCTAGACTACATTTACAGCCCCTCAGGTTAAGACAATATTTTTGAAATTTTGCAGAAATGCATGGGACTGTGGATTGCGATATTGACTTGTATCACTCGAGGAATAGAGTGGGAAAAATAACTGCAACGATCTCTACTTGTTGACTCTTCGGTGGAAAACAACTTCGCCAGTTATTCTTTTGATTCATGAATAGATTTTAAAATTCATAACAAAAACTTGCTTCTTTTGAATTAAGTGAATAAACTTAAGATCTATAAATCATGATGATTTTGGTCTAGAAAAAGCCACAATTCTGAAGCAAAAGTTACAGATGGACGGAAATGAGCATACTAGAAACGAGTCGCATTTTCAGCGAAATGGGGATCATACTTTATAATTTCTACAAAAATCTTTAAAAAAATAACTTGCAGAGTATAGGATATAAGTCAATCATCGGTCACCTAAGTAGGTACGCTTCTCTTGATTATTCGTTATCTCCTGGAATCATACATATCAAAGATTTTCAACATATGCCTTGAAACTGAACATCGAGATTTACTGAGGTTCATGAGGTCGACAGTATGCATTGTAGAAAAAACAATTTTTCTCTGCACCTAGGTTTGTCTCTCTTTTCTTCATCCGTGTTGCATGGGTGTTGTTGTAATTGCTGATCTCTGTTTGAGCTGTTTGTATTAGCAAACTTCGCTGATTTGTGACATTCGCCGTACTCTCAACAGTTTTGCCATAAAGCCCCGGTTACTGCATCGCAGAAAGAAATATTTTCTCATAAAACGGATCCGTCTCTATCTTGTTCTTCCTTGCTGCCTGCTGGCTTCCTGGTCTTCTATCATGTCTCGGTTATTACAGAAGAAGCTGATGGGCTGGAGTCACTGGTTTATGATCAACCAGCTTGTGCAACAGAGCCAACATCAATTTTTTAATCTTCACATCTACTGTGGTCACGTGTGCCCGGAAGAGAGTAGAATAATAGCTTTCGTGATTTAGCCATTTAATCCTCCATATGTGTCACATCAACGCTGCTGTATGTAGCTCAAGCCGCACTACAACACTACACAACAACGCTGACATGCCGGAGGCAATCTATAGGCAAATGCTGATGAAAAGTGAAATGCTTTTAATCAGCCCACATATTGGGTAGATTTCCAAACGTACCCCAGACTAGGGAGATCCTCCTGCTCAACTATGGCTAGATAGTTTCGTCACTGGAGATGATGAGGCTGAAATACAAAATTCGGTCAACCTGCTGAAACGTTTAACTTACCACCATTCTCAATCGGCCGACTAGAAAGCACAAACGGCACCATTAACCATGAGGGTCAACCAAGCTCGAATGAAAACATTATGTGCCTTTTCTTCATTGTACTGTGAAGA